ATTTTCGCCATAATATTCGGCATTTATTTTGATGCCACGGTCGACTAATACGAGCGGAGAGCGAGTACTGGCTTTAATGGCGGCCCACACTATGACTACACCATGGTCGGCGCTTGAGTTTTGGTGACCAACCGAAGATGCATATTTTCAGCTGACCTCTTTGGCAACTAAATCCGATCAGTTTGTTTGTTTACAAACAGCTGGACAACGAATTTTTTCTCATCGGAGATCGGAGAAAACCAAATTCGGCAGTTCACCATTTTCAGCCAAGCGAAGCAACTCTTTAGCTCTTTTGAGTCTATTTCCTGTTGCGGTGTAAGTTCTTGCACTTTTTGGAAATTCAATGGCTTTATCCCGAGCTCATTTTTGCAAATATTTCCCGAATGGGAATATTGCGATATGTTCAGCTCTCGAGCCACTTTTCGTCCACTGCGACGCGGGTTTTCGATCAAGTCGCTTCTTTACTTTTCGAACCATTTCTGCTGATGTTACTGTTTTCTTCCTTCTACTTCCTTGACGTCGGGCTACGCTACCAGTATCACGGTAACGAGCGATGTACCAAATTCGGCAGTTCACCACTTTCGGCCGAGCGAAGCAAATCTCTAGCTCTTTTGCGTCTATTTTCTTTCTGTTGCGGTGTAAGTTCTTGAACTTTTTGAAATTTCAATGTCTTTACCCCGAGATGATTTTTAAATATTTGCCAATTGGAATATTGCGATATGTTTAGCTCACGAGCCATTTTTCGGCAAATGCGACGCGGAATTTGATCAAGGCGCTTCTTTATTTTTCGAACCTTTTCTGCTGATGTTGCTGTTTTCTTCCGTCTACTCCCTTGACGTCGGGCTACGCTACCAGTATCAGGGTTACGGTAATGAGCGATTGTACGAGACACAAAAGATTTATTCACATTTAAATGCTGGAGTGCTCTAACGATAGCCACTTGTGGTTTTCCAGCCAAATATCAGAAAGAAATCACACTATCACGCTTGAATTCCATCACGGATAGTTGTTTTTCTGGGAAATTCTCACCAAAATGCTTTTGTACGCTTGTAAACCATATAATGAGCTGTCACTGGAATAATTTAACCAGCTGTCGGACGAGTGGTTCAGAATTGACAGCAGTCTGAAGTTGGTTGCAGTTTTTTCATCTTACCTTGTACAGTATATGACCTCTTTGGTGCAGTGGGAAAAATCGGACATAATTATAACGATACGACGTAGAGATGGCGCTCAGGACATTAACTGTTCTGAGATGATCGCTTGGAGCTCCAAAATAAATTTTATTTTTCAGAACGTCTGTTATCTGATGATATTGTATGATTTTGTCTATGCTCCTCTACTTAACCTCGATATAAAACTCCTTGTAACATTAAAGCAAATTTATTTATATCACAAAGAACTACCATGAACTTGAATTTTTTGAATAAATCTTTTTACCGACAGCTGGAGTCGATTTAGCCCTTTTTACGACATCTGATGCCTACCTTATTCATCAAATTAGAACCAATATCCAGTGATAATTCTCATTACTGGTAATGAAGAAGGTATTTTTTTACATTACGTTTTAAGGGGTTATTCCACTCCTGCAACTCCCAACTTTTCGCTAGGTTTATTTGACATTGCCTTCTTTTTCCCACGAAATAATGTCATTTATGTCATTTATTTGCTGAGAGACTTCGCATCATTATGACGAGTTCTTTATCAAGAACATTCAAGTGAATTATTTTTAATACCCCCAAAAGATGTATTTAAATAAAACCAATCAAACGAGAAAAAAGAAAGCAAACACTTATCATTCATACCTGGGGATTCCGCCGTTCAATTCATCCGGCAGTGATACATCTCCATGTCGTGTCGGCATTTTATTCAATTACAAACAAAAATTTGATCAATTTCGATGTCTGTCTGTCTGTCTGTCTGTCTGTCTGAGAGACATGGAAGTTTTGTGCGACAAATCAGTTGGGGAAAAACGAAAGCGTAATGATTTAAACCGCATTATTTACACCACGGCGAACGAAAGCGACACACAAACAAACATCTAAAAAAGAAGGCTATGGAGGAAGAAGAGCGCTTCTTCATGCAAAGCACGTGTAATTTGTCATGCGGAAAAATCATTGTAAATGACAATACGGTTAAACACAACACAACACTGCACGCACGAACACACTCGCACACACTCAAACACACGCACACACCCATCAACACACTTTGGGAGTTTCTGGTGACAACAATGACAATTTGACAAAGCCAGCAACAGTGAGCTTGTCACTTGATTCCCTGCGCTTTATGAAATAAACAAACAGAAAAAAAGCTGGCGTTGATGGGTGAGAAAGGAGATCACCAACCAGGCAGCCAGCCAACTAACTGGATGGCTGACTTACTGTCTGCCTGCCTGCCTGCCTGCCTGCCTGACTACCTCGCAAACACAAAACACCAAACAACAAGTATCGAACCCAAACATCAAACAAGAAAATATAATTTATCAAAAAGTCTAAGAGTATCTTTTGAAAAGATATAAACAACAGCATAACGGCACGTCGCTACCAAACAGAGCTTTGAGGTTATGACATTTATGCGTGGAACTCTAGTCGAGGTGTAGCCCAAGCCCTCCACCTCACCTCTGTTGCCACACTTATGACACAAAAGCCATGTACTTATAGCCAGTGAACTGTGTCACACAAACCGAGTCAAACTCTAATGGTGTGAGAGTGAAGTAGTAGTAGAGTGGGACTAGAAGGAGGAGAGAGAGAGAGAGAGAGAGAGCAGTTTATGCAAAGTGTGTTAGGCTGACAGAATGACTTGCTGCTCTGCCTTTGTTTTGTTGTCAAGGAATTATTTAAACCACACTGACGCTTTCGCCAGACCACACTTCACACACACACACACACATTGACACATTCATAAAACTAACACATTGAAATGCAATAAAATAAAACATAAAAGCAACTCAGCAACAGAGTTTGTAACAACGCCAGTATTTCTCAAAGCCACTCTAGCTGCCTTTCCTGTCCCATAAAAAGCGTAATGTAACGGTTATCGTTTTTAGACTTTGAGCTTGCACTTATTCCCTAGTTTTTATACCCTCCACCATACACAGTATGGAGGGTATATTTAGTTCATCAGTCCGTTAGTAACTCTTTGAAATAGTAATTTTAGACATAACAAAGTACATATTCAGACTGCTGTCATTCATAAGCCACTCGTCCGGTAGCTGTTAAAATTATTCCAGTGACAGCTCATTATATTGTTTACAAGCGTACAAAAGCATTTTTGTGAGAATTTTCCAAATTTTGGCTGGAAAACCACAAGTCGCTATAATTAGAGCACTCCAGCATTTAAACCTGAATAAATCTTTTGTATCTCGTACCATCGCTCGTTACCGTGATACTGGTAGCGTAGCCCGACGTCAAGGAAGTGGACGGAAGAAAAAAACAACATCCGCAGAAATAGTTCGAAAAGTAAAGAAGCGACTTGATCGAAACCGGCGTCGCATTGGCCGAAAAATGACTCGTGGGCTGAACATATCGCAATATTTCATTCGGCAAATATTGAAAAATGAGCTCAGGGTAAGGCCATTGAAATTCCAAAAAAGTTCAAGAATTTACACCGCAACAGAAAGAAAATAGGCCCAAAAGAGGTAAAGATTTGTTTCGCTTGGCCGAAAGTGGTGAACTCCCGAATTTAGTTTTCTCCGATCTTCGATGAAAACAAAGAGGTCTGCTGAAAATGTGCACCTTCGGTTGGCAACCAGACCTCAAGCGCCAGCCGACCGCGGCATCAGATTTCATTGGCCGTTTGAAGGCAATAATTCGTGCCAAAGGTGACCAATTCAAACAAATCTAAACAATTCTCTAATTTGATGCTATATCCGACATTTTTGCTTTCATTCAATAAAATTAAAGAAAAATGTGAATATTATGGCGTTTGATTTTGTTGTATTTTTTTATCTTACCCTATATAACGGAACCTCCCTGTATTCGATATTTTGATGATAGCGACATTATTCACCGGATTTTTTCAAGTTTCGTATTTGAATAGTGTAATGGCTTATAATAAAAGTTGTCTATGCTGCTCCACGTCTTCGTATAGGCTCCAATATAACGGCTATATTTGGTATTTTTAAGATTTTAACAGAATTTTTAACGGATTTTATATTTTTGGAGGGCATTCAAAGTTCGGCCCGGCCGAACTTACATATATTTTTCTTGCTTATCTACATATAATAAAAACAAATATAAAATATCTTTAAATTTGTTTTATGCACTTGCTTTTCAATAAATGGTGATGGTTAGTGGATTATGTGTGGGATTACATAGGTGGCAGCTTGAATTTGAATTCAATTCTATGGCGACTATTATAATGCCAAAAGTCATACTATGTTGCCACTACCATACTGAAGTCACTATTATTTGTTATTCATTATTATTTATATTATTATTTATTATTTAAAAAAACTTTTTAAAAAACTCTCTATAATCCAATTTCTTTAATTCTTAATTCCCTGCCTTCTGAGAAACTTACTGCTCACATACCCATTGTTTCTCTCTTTTGCTCTTATGTTAAAGTGTTCTCCAACTCCCCATTTACTCTCAAATTATTTTGATAACTAATATATTTTCATGCTCAGAAATTCTCTTTTTGTAATCATTTCTTTTATAATAACATGTATTTTGTTAAAGAGTTAGCTCTTAAACATATGATCAAACGGGGAAAATTTACGGAAATTGACATTAGTTTTTTTAACCTAAAACCCGATCTCAAATAAATTTGTGAATAATCTTAAGAATCTTCCTCTCATGCATTTTAGAGAAAATAACAAAAATCCCCATATCAAACAACAACTTGACATAAAAGTTAACGACTCAGAATTGATGACTTAAAATTGTCCATAAAATTAACAAAAAAAAAAAAACAAAACAAAACTTCCAAAAAATCAACCAACAAAAAACCCAAAGATCCTGAAACCAAAACCCATTGCAGCAGCAGTTTCCTGCAGCAGAAGTGGCAGTAGCTGCTAAAACGAAAGGGGAAACAGGAAAGGACAAATTTCCAAAACAATTTACAAAAGCAACAAAAGGATTATCATGTTGAACGTTGGTGTTGGTAAGTATTTTCGTTATTCATGCTTCCTTCTCTTTGTTGCTGTTGTTTTTAGAATTTTAGATTTTCATCCATTGTTGCTATTTTTTGGGCATGTGACATTTAATTAACACTTTGGGCTGTGTGTAGCCAGTTTGAATTGCAACAACAGTTTGTGTCATCTCCATTCATTCTCTGTACCTCATCTCTCTCTCTATCATCTCTTTGTGCCAAACACTTTTGTTTGTCTTTGTTATTCCATTGCCCCATCAATGTTGACCTTTTTAATTTAATTACACTTCGTTCTATTTGATATTTTCGGTACTTCCATGTTTTGTCCACACAATTGTGTTTGCCAATTTTGCTCGTTTATTTTGTTTGCTTTGGTTATTTTGCTTTTTGTGGTGATTTCTTTGCTTGGTTTGGTGGTACTCTTTCTATAACCGCCATGTGGTTGAGCGTATTATATGTTTGTTTTAAGCCAATGCAATTTTGATTTCAAGTTCAATTGGTTTAGAAATAGATTGTTTTTAAGAAAATATAGATATGAAGCTTTAAAGGCTATTTAAATATAATTTAAAACTAAAGTTTCAAAAGTCCTTTAAAAATATCTTGACAATAATCGAACTCCCTATTTCATATAATATTCCATACCCAATACATATATTAATATCTTTATATTTTTCTAAAATATTCTAACTTCGATACTCTATAACGAATATATATTTAAGAATTCCCAATACAAGTAACTAACATATTTCGTCAGAAAAATATTATTTAAGGCTTCAATCTCAAAATATAGGAAAGTACTCCAATAGTCTATTGAAAATTTTTAAAAACTACGCGATTTTTTGAGTTAGTCTCTCAAAAATATTAAAAATATCCGATATTGACTGAAAGCCCTTAAAAAATCCACAGAGTCTTAAAACCCGAAATCTCCGTCTTTCTAATAATTATCTTAGGGCTTTCCGATGTAGTTTGCGGTAGTACTTTAGAAAAATATATAAAAGTAAAATGTCTCAGTTTATTACCAGAATTTTCTTTGAAAAAAACTACTTTTGGTTCGGAAACGTACTAGAAAAAATATACGATTTTAGCTCCAAAAAAGTTGTAGAAACTCATATTTTAAGCTCAGAAAATTGTAAAAAAATATTTTTTACCTCCTGAAAACAACTCTTCAAATAACGATTCCGAAAAGTCCACATTATTTAGTCTTTAAAAATACTTTAAAAAATCCTAAATTGTAAGCCTTTATGGCCTACAAAAACATAAAGGTGTGGGTACGTAAGTAGCTTGAAATCTTCACATAGCATATTTTGTGACATATAAAAGGGGTAAGAGAGACGTGCTCGAATCCTGCCATCGTATTTCCTTAATATGCCATGATGTCACGCCGCTTATGTACCCACACCTTAAGTTGTTAAAAAATCAGACGTAGCCTTCCTTGCTTCCAAATTTTTTTCTTAAAAATTGATAACTATAATTGTGATAGTGTAACGTCATATGGAGGTGGTTGGTAGGCGCTGTAATCGTTTTCTGTTCTTGTGTGCGACGATTATAGCGTCAATCCACCACCCGAGTACTCGTTTGCCGCTTAATAGACACTTCTGCTTTCGGCAATATGCCGTTTGCCGCATAAGACAAATAATTCTCATTCACATGGCCAGTCACATACAGTGTTCGGTTTGAGTTAAGATGAGACAGGCTTGTTACTGCAGGGGACTTGCCGAAGGGAATTGCTTTTCCGAATCATTTTCCGTAATCTGAATCCTTTGCTGGGAATACTTTTTTGGATCTGACTCTCTCATTGAGTTCCCGGTAATTCATCGCTGTTCCGCCGGAGTTTTGACTTACTATTCTGCAGGAATTTTGGCTCGCTATTTCGCATGAGCTTCGGCAAGCTGTCCACAGGAGCTTCTCTTCGTTGTAACGTATCATAGCTTAAACATCGATAGCTAATTAAAGGTAGTCATAAATCGTAGGTCTACCTAAAGCAGTTTCCTAGCAATTATAGGCGACCCAAACAGCTATATCCGATCATAAGAGTCCGAACGAGTTGCGATCGATCTGTGGAAGTCTACACGTCGGCTTACGAGCATAACCACAGTGAGTTGTCGAACCCTAACGAGTTCTGACCTATCAGCGAAAGCCTACACATTTGCTCCTGAACATAACTGCAGTGAGTTGCCGAACCCCTATGAATACTGATCCATCTAAGAAGGCTTGGACAGCTTCTCCGAACACTCACTTGTCGACATCCGACGGTTACCCAAAATTACCCTATCACCTTCAAATCTGCCCGATTGTCCACGAATCCTACACCCTCTCAATATCAAATCTAGAATCAGCGATTTCCTACTAGACATATTTAATGTAGAACTCTCGATTATTAATTGACCAAATTTACTTTGAATTTCCCAGCACCTCCGAGGTAAATTCGCCATTTTTTTTTAAATAGACTTTTGTAAGTTAATTTCAGCCTTCTAGAAACTTTCGAAAATTCCCAAAACGTATCCTTAATTTAAAGACATTTTCACGATTTTAGAACTGAATCACTGCCGCAGTATTCTTAATTTTTAATGGTCGCACTTAGATTTCCTGGTAGCCGAGTGTGGCCGTTGGAATCTCTGTTTGGCCTTTTTGAATGCCAAAAATTCGGACGTATTTATCTTTTGTGTGCATACAAAAGGTCATAGGCCAACAAACAGGTTTTTATTGAGGCGGTTGGTTGGCTGGCGTTGTTCTTGTTGTTGTGATTCTTTTAACGACTCACATTTGCTCCCACATACACGCACATTCCTGGCACTGGCACTCCTTTGGACTAACGATTCCAGGCAAATGGATTATTTCAGCTCGGTACATTAATAAGTAAATAGCTGGCCAGGAAAACCGAAAGAAACAAAACAAAAGCCAACGGTGTTCACATGCATCCCTGCCCACACACACACCTGAGAGTGGAAAATACTTAGGCCCGACCCCAAACTTAGTTTCGAAATAAGCTTTAAACACATTCCTTGGACCATAACCAAATAACTTGGCCGACTGACTGACTAACTGACATGAGCCAGGTGGGGGCCGTAAAAGTATATTAACCTGTCATAAATTCCCCAAAAACAAAAAAAAAAACTTCCCAACTCTTATCAGCCTCAGGTGGCCGAAAGACCGTTCCGAAGAAGTAAAAAGTGAGAGCGCATCACGCGCGAATGGGATGAGTTGCCCGAGAGAATGTGTCTGCTTTGTTTCTAAGTAAATAACCTTATAAAGTGGCATACTTTTAGGCACAAAGTGAAAATTCATAAATATGTACAGAATACATTAAGGATTCGTTTTAAGGTACGGCAGAGGCAGCAGCAGCAGCTCGTGTTGTTGTTGATATGTTCCACATAATCTCTTTTAATTATGCTGCCTCTTTTCATATTCCATTTGAGGAAGAGCCAACAACAACAACAAAAATAAATCTGAAATAAAATTTTATGGCATGACAAATAAAGAAGAGGAAAAGTCACAAAAGGAAAAAACGTGGAATTATGAGGCAGGTTTTGGCAGGGTATGAGGCTCCAACAACAGGTACCATCACATAAAAGCTACTTAACATGCATTCACACAAGCCGGAGCCGTAAGTAATTAATGTTTTATTAAGAAATTAATCTCCAGAACTGAAAGACAAATATTGAAGCTGATGGCAGGAGCAAAAAGACCATAAGAAGGAAATGGAAAAACAAAGCCATTAAGGGAATATTTGATGGTAATCAGCTGTAATAATAGACGATATAAAATACCTTATCACAACGGGTTTCTGTGTAAAAGATTCTGTTAAATTTATGAAGGTCATTTTATCAAATGAATAATTGAATATCATGAGCTTGGCCCCAAAATATTCAATTAAATAATTTAATTTTGTTTAACAATTCTCTGTTTCTCCCATAACCTCCAAAAATATGTCATAATGAACTGAAAACATTCTCTGTCTCTCTCTCTCTCTCTCTCAAACAAATATCTCCCCTTAGAATAATGCAACATGTTTACCAAATACTAAAATAATTCTCCTAAATATCATTCTTCTGCGAAATATTTACATTCATTGATCTAAGAAAACATCTCTCGAGAATGTCCTGCATTGTTTCGGAACACAAATACGTAAAGAAATGTAAACATGGTCTTAAACGAGATTAACAAAACGAAAAACACAAACACACACACACAGAAATACAATTCAAATATTTTCATAGAAAATTCGACACAAAGATAAAATGGGGCTTATGTCACATCACAGGATGGAGAGAATTCAATTCAATTCAATATGAAAATCCCTGGGAAAATAATAACACAGGGGAAAATTTGTCAAACATGGCATACTATTAGGCGAATGGAAGAGAGAGCATAATTTGTGGCATAGAAATGAATTTCTGTGAGAAGTCGAATCAGTAGGTTTATGGGAAATTGCCAGAGGACATCTACTGTAGAGTTGATGTCGCCAGAAGACATCTTCAGTAGAGTTTATGTCCCCAGAGGACATCTACTGTAGAGTAGATGCAGCCAGCAGATATCTACTATAGAGTAGATGTCGTCGAAGGACATCTACCATAGAGTAGATGTCGTCGAAGGACATCTACCATAGAGTAGATGTCGTCGGAGGACATCTACCACAGAGTAGATGTCGTCGGAGGACATCTACCATAGAGTAGATGTCGTCGGAGGACATCTACCACAGAGTAGATGTCGTCGGAGGACATCTACCATAGAGTAGATGCCGTCGGAGGACATCTACCATAGAGTAGATGTCGTCGGAGGACATCTACCATAGAGTAGATGTCGTCGGAGGACATCTACCATAGAGTAGATGTCGGAGGAGGACATCTACCATAGAGTAGATGTCGGAGGAGGACATCTACCATAGAGTAGATGTCGGAGGAGGACATCTACCATAGAGTAGATGTCGTCGGAGGACATCTACCATAGAGTAGATGTCGGAGGAGGACATCTATCATAGAGTAGATGTCTGAGGAGGACATCTACCATAGAGT